CAAGGTGTCCCTGCCCATGGCAGGGGGGTTAGAACCAGGTAATTTTTAAGGTCCCTTCCAACCCAAGCCATTCTCTGATTCTATGAAATATGGACAGGACAGCTGGGATTATATATGAGCTTAGCCCTGAATAATAATTATTCCTGGTGAATTTTGAAGTCAAGGGCTATCAGCTGCTTTCAATCCAACAGGAGTAAGAATTTTTATCCTGGTATCTCAAATAACTGATGCCAGATTATCTGAGGTCCTGTAAAAGATCCCAAACTCTGACATTTCATAAATTAGCAAGTCAGCTCTATAGATAGACATTCCCTTCTGATCCAGCTGGATAACAAGTAATTTAATTTACTCTCTATCTGTTACCACCTGCTTCAGAAGATTGTCACCTGCCAAGTTTACTGAGAGGGATCCCTGTTTCAGAACTCCATGAAGGACACCACAGCAGTTCTCAGCTTTGCCACACCACTCTCCTCCTGACCTGTCACTCACAGACATGAAGATGCATCCTTCCACATGTGGATACAGCACCAAGTTTCTTCAGGGTGTTCCCAAGGAAGGAGCATTTGAAGCTCTGAGCTGGCTGTGTGCAGGAGGCAGCATTCATCACTTTTAACAGCCAAGCTCTTTTTCCCTAATAAACAAAACAAAATGTGTCTCTTCAAGGACTTTTGCCAGAGCCCCATAGAATAAGGCCCTGGAGGGAAGAGGGAGCCCAGGAAACATGTGTGGGAAGTCAGGCAAAAATGCCAGGAGACTTCTGTGGGTGAACAGGGAGCACCTCCAAACTCAAACACAAAAAGGAATCATAGAGAAGGTGGCATCAAGGACAGGTAACCTGTGAGGAACACAGACACATTGTTCAGGTACGCCGGGATGAGGTCCCGAAAGTTAAAGCCCAGCTGGATGTCAAAGACAACAAGAAGTGCTTCTGTAGGGGACAATCAAAAGACTGGGAAAACTGTGAGCCCACTGCTCCCCCTCCCCTTCCTACTATAAAATCTCACTCCATTATTTTAGACTAGACACAGTAAATAAAAGCAGCTCTGTAACCCTTACTGTACCTACCCTTCTTTTCTTTGTCTAATATAATTCCTACGATGTCCTTACATAATGTTTAAGGAGTTCTGGAAAAGACAAAGGCACATGTGCAAAGGAAACAAACAAGTGGGTGGGAGAGTTTTGGGGTTTTTTTTGTTTGGTTGTTTGGTTGGTTGTTTGGTTTTTTTGTCAAAACCTGTGAGCTGGTTTGGCTCGCAAATTCCTAATTGAAGAGGCTCAGCAATGTAGCTGCAGAGAAATGGAAATCATCTTCTGTAATACTATCAGCAAATTACCTTTGTCCTGGGGATGATTTACCTTTTGCAACCCCAGCTACAGCCAGAAACACACACTAGTCTCTTACAAGCTTTCTCCTGCACCTTACAATACTGTATTATGGCATTTAGATGTTTCACACGGTAGCATTTTACTGAGAGTCTCTTCAGACATCCTCAGGCAATCACCTTTTGTCACATCATTGCTTTTAGCTACATTTCCAACTGAAAATAAGCCTAGGAACTACAATGCCCTTCTCCCAAGGCTGTCAATTCAGCAAATAGCTCAGATACAAAGATTAAATATAAGTTGTGTGTGTATATTTGCTCACATATGATCTATTATAATTTTTTGAATGCTAAATCCTATGTTTTTTCACCACATAATACAAAAGGCTTTCAACCAGAGACACTCACAATCTAAACAGACAGAAAAGAACACAAGAGCTTAAACAAAGACTCTTATCTTACTCTGTGCTTTTATAAAACATTTAACCTTTTACTTAGATAGACTAGTGCCAGGGCCTCACGAAGAAAGTAATGTGTTCAGGAGGGAATGGAGAAAGGGCACCTCCCTTCTGCAAAAGGATTGAGGAGGAATTTCAAACATGAAGATAAAAATCAAAATAAAATGGAAAAATGAGACAAAGTAGGAAGCCAGAATTTCTTCATTATGTGTTTCAGTGAACTTTCTGTGATTTCCTGCAATGTACCTTAACTGCAACAATGTTTATTTGCTAAATAGATTGCCCAAGCCTCTAATCTATGAACTTCCACAAGTAAATTTTACAAACTACATAAAATATATATGAATGTGCTTAAATTGGAGATGACCCATGAAAACCAGTGCGTCCATATTACGTAGGTAGATCTCAAACACGAGCATTTATTTTAAATTGACCATTTAGTTTTCCTTGACTCAGAATTACGTAAGAGCCACCAAGGAACTGGCCTCTGGCAGCACGCACGCATAAATCTGTTTAAGCACTGACAGGACTGTTAGCTGAGGCCTCAGAAACCCAAAATCAGGGTCCTCAAGATGTGTATTTTCCATATTTATCTCATCAAGCAGTTCAATCTCACTGGCAGATTCCGAGGACAGTCTCTTTTAAGAGATAAGTTGTCAAAATACTCCTGCCAGAATAGGAAAGACCAAGGTAAACTACTAATGCCCATGGCAAATTTAGCCTGACAAGGCAGTAATCTCTTCTAAAATACCTTGGGCAGTAATGCACCAAAAATTTCCCATCATCCAACTGCATGGCCTGAATCCTCATAACTGGGAGACTGAGATGAACCCGGATTCTACACGCCACTTGGGCTGATTTAAAAGCAAATAAATGTACTTGTTCCTTCACAGCAGTTCATACCGGTCTATGATTTACACAGGCTGATCTGGCACACATTTACATTCCTATGAGGGCTTTCTGTAGTTTTTAGCCATATCACTTCACCTCCCTCCAGCTATAAAAAGAGAATGATGGTATTAATGTAACATTACAGAGGCTCTGTCAGTTATGACAATTAATTAAAAAAAAAAAAGAATAGAGAGTTGATTCTGCTTTATTGAGGTAGAGATTTTTTTAAAAAAACAGCAAAAGATTTATTTAAAGTGAGGAAGACCTGGTGCAAAAACTAAAGCTAAATACAGACAATGATACAAAATATTATTTTAAAATATCTGATAATTAACACTTGTAGAAAACCAAACATCTGTTCCACAGCTTTTGTTCCCTGCAGTCAAAATTGAAGCCTTTGTAATTTGCCTGCTGAAAAGGTAACATGACCCAGCATCTTTTTCTGTATTTAGAACAAATCCAGATTTATGGGCTGTTTTTGCCACAGCAGTATGCAATATTCCAAAACAAGCTCTAAGAAAAAGTAATTAAAAATGTGAAGCTTAACAGAAAATGAGACAAAGCCTAAAGCCAAAGAAAAACCCTGCTAAACTTATTTGACATTATCAAATAATAATGTCCTGTAATTTTTCTAGGAAAAGGAGAAATGCATTAGATCATACCTATATGGACATAGGAAAACACTTAATATGGTGCAATGGTGACATTTATGTTTATCTTATGGAAGTTAAGGAGACGCTGGAAGAAAATGCCAGCAATTTCCCTTGCAAACAGTTTTAAATTAACATTTTAATTAATGACTTCAACATAATGAGTAGAAAGATACCTTTGATACAAAATAAGAAATATAGCATATGGGAAGAAAATGGGGAAATTACAAAACCAGTGTAAAACTTATAATTATGGAGTGCAGCATTGTAGCAAAATGTGGACTATGCAACATTTTCTCAAGGAAGGATGTTCTTTAATATATATTGTATACTTTCAAGCTTTATCAACAAGATGGGAGATTTAGTCTGTGAAACAGAGAGCAGCCCACAAGCTCTAAGTGATGTGCAGGAGTTAGGAAGACAAATTACTGGTTGGTAGAATTGTCTTGCTAAGCTTAAGGGCCTGGCAGGTTTCAGTGATCTCACACCCAGAGGGAGGTTAACAAAGCTGGAGAGAAGGATGTACCACTGACAGCAGACACAAAGAATGCAGAATTTATGGGCCACAAGGACATTGGGCAGAACCCCCAAGATAAGGAAGAAACAAATAAACCTTACCCAGCAACTGTGCTGAACCAGCTGTGACTGGGTAAAAGGGAATTCTGCAGGGGGAGATCCCAACCACCACTCACAGATCATTGACCCAAAAACCCATCAGCCCAAGAGAAGAGAAACATCATGGGACTGATCAGCACGAGAAGAGAGAGAATCATTAACCAATAGAAGATAGAACACTAATTAATATATGAGAACTATGAAACTTGTAGCCAATGAACACTAATTATTGTTTGCTGATATGTATAAATAGTAAAAAAGTGTGATAGTTGTTGGGCTTGATTTGTGGAATTCCATTGGGCACCAGGCTTGCAGAACTCTGAAATAAAATAATCAATGTCTCTCTCACGTCTATAATTATTGGCTTATATTGTAATTATTGCACACTGGGAAACAAATCCGATTTTTGTGGACAACAACATCCTGCACTTATAAATTAAGATGTTATCTCAGAAACCCTGTTCAGAAGGATGTATTTGATGGGGTGTATTTGAACCTGCCAGGATAACTAGAAAGCATCATGCAAAGGACACGAGCGGCAAAAACTAACTGCATATTTTATTGTTTGATAAAAGCTTTCTAAACTAAAGGTCTGCACCAGAAGCAGGACATTGTTTGTGTTAATAAGACGTGTCTGGTAACTTTTTTTTTTAATAAAAGCGTGAGGGAAGGATAATACTTTAAGGACTCCCACTTTTCTGTACCACATCTGCGATTCAAGAAAAATGCGCAGGGCGCTCGGGAGTGCCATAAAGCAGCTCGTGTTCTCGTTTTTCATCGCAGAGGCGACGCCAGGTTCGCTCCGTGCGCGGCCCGGCCCTGGGCGAAGGGCGGACGCATGCGCGGAGCGGTCCTGAGGAAGGCGCCGCGCTGAGGGAGGCGCGGCCCTGAGGGAGGAGCGGCTCCAAGGGCGGCGCGGGGCTGAGGGAGGCGCGGCGCCGAGGGCGGAGCGGCGCCGGGGGCGGAGGAGCCCCGCCCCAGCCGCGGGCCCGCTCCGCTCTAAGATGGCGGCGCGGGCCCCACGTGGTGCGCGCTGAGGCGGGCGCGGGGCGGACGCTGGCGACATGGCGGCGGCGGCGGCGGCGGCGGGCAGCGAGGGCGGGAGGAGCGACGGAGCTGAGGAGGACGAGGTGGAGGTTGGTGGATGCCGACGGCGGGCCGCTCTCCAGCCCTGGGGGAAGGGCCCGGCCCCTCGCGGGGCGTGGCCCGGCCCCGCTCCGCCCGGCCCGGAGGGGCAGACAGGGAGAGGGGCCGGTCGCGGACCGAGCGCGTTTCCCTGGGGCCGGCGGGTTTCTCAGTCCCCACAGCGCTGCCGTGCCCAGAGCTGTGGGGTTCTGGCTGTTCTTCCTCGGGCTTCCCCGAAAACGCCATGGTCAGAGAGCGCATTTGCAGTTTCTGTTGCTTCCTGTCGCCATAAAATCGCAGAATTAGAGAAAGGTTTGAGTTGCAAGGGCCTTTAAAAATTATCTGGTTCCAAACCCCTGCTATGGGCAGCGACTCCTTCCACTAGACCAGGTTGCTTAAAGCCTCATCCAGCCTGGCCTTGGACGCTTCCAAAAATGGGGCATCCACAAATTCTCTGGGCAATCTGTTCCAGTGCCACACCTCTCCTCTCAGTTAAAAAAAAAATAATTAATGAAAATTTCAGTATCTAATCTAAACCCACTCTCGATTTAAATCTCTTACCCCTTGTCCTGTCACTACAGGCCCTTGTAAAAAGTCCCTCTCCAGCTCTCTTGTAGGCCCTCTTTAGGTACTGGAAGGTGCTGTAGGATCTCCCCAGAGCCATACTGATGCTCCTTTTTCAAGGGTGAAAAAAGGGCTCCCCATTGCTCGCTAGGAAGAAAAGGCCAGGAAATTCGGGTGTGAAACAGGTGTCTTATGGAATAGGGGGTCACTAAATTTCCCTGGGTATTACAAGAGTTCTGTCTCTTGACAAAATGCAGCATAAACTCCACTTTGGGGTTTATCCTGAAAGGCTGTGTCTTTGTATGCTGTTCTTATTGGTAAAGATTGATTTCAGGGAGGCCTTTTCCCCCCCTGAGTTCTGTCATATCTGTTATAGCTGTACATGATCAACTTTTCTTGTAGGAGCAACTGGTCATGGTTGAGCTATCAGGAATTATTGATTCAGACTTCTTAGAAAAATGTGAAAACAAGTGCAAGATTTTGGTGAGTGATTACAGCACAATAGGAAAGGGGTAAGTTATTATGGATGTGAACAAGGGAGTGAGGCTGCTTCTAAATTTCTTGATGTAATAACATTAGATCAGATCTTTGATAGAGAATTATGTGTGCTGTGCTTGGTTGCATGCTGTGGACTTTCTTTCAAAAACAGCATAAAGTCTTTGAATATATTATTACATAAATATAAGGAAACTTTTTCAGAAGTATATATAAGCTTGGACCAGTATCTACTCTGGTTTCGAGTTGTAAGTTAATTTTTCTTTAAATTATGTGTTGCACATGTTAAAAAAACCATAAATGTTAATCACACTTAGTCAAATAATATCAGAACACAGCAGACAGGTAAAGCAAAGTATTTAAGATTTGCATTGTATTTACAATGGGGTTTTTTGCAGATATGTCCTGGCAAGTTCAAGTCTTGTAAAGGATAACTGGGCATTAAGCATTTCATGAACAGTTTTGGATGTTGTTTCCTTCACTGTAAGGTTATCGTAGGAATCTGATTTCCCTGACCTGTTCCTTTTGAGTTTTTTAATCACTTTATCTGTATAGGACCGATTTTATTTGCCCTTCAAAACTTATGTAGACTATGAGAGTTGTGTAGATAGTATTTGCAAATCAGCAGCACTTATACTTTCTCAATGTAGACTTTTATTATAGGCTGAAAAGATGGAAGAGAATATCTGAGTGTGCTACTGATCACAATAGATGAGTGGTAAAGTCAATTCTCAATGTCTCAGAAGTAGAAATACAATCAAAATTCATGAAATATTCATCTTTGGATGGATATGCAGGTTTCCCTCCTTGATCTGATCTAATTCTCTTAAAATTTTTTACATGTATCATTCATAATGATGGCTGAATGGCTGCAGATGCTTCAGTACTGCTGGTGGGATTCTTTCGAATGTTGTACTTTGTGACTCCCTTGTAATGTTGCTAGTAAAAGGTTAAAGTATCCATACTGTGTCCTACTTGTATCCATGTCTACTTGAGTTCACAGAGTAAGCATTCCATGAGACTTTTCCTAAGGGACAGATGTTGTTAAAAGTTTAATTAAAGTGTCTGCTCTGTGTTACTCTGTTTAGCAAGTTTTCTGTGATGCTGGTCCCATCAGGGGAAGACAGTCTCCAAGTCTGCATAGTCCACAAAGGAATGCAAATCAGCCAAAGAAATAAAATTTTGAATGTAAAACCCCTATGATGCTATTGTTTAGTACTGATGTGTTATTAATTGTATTTATTTCTTGTAGAAGAAAAAACCCCACAAAATATGTTCTATGTGGTAGCTTAGTGTTATTTGTGTAATTTATGCAGAAGAAAGAGAATCCCAGAGCTTAAATCTTGTTGATCCTTGTACTTTTGGAACACAGAAGTATATGAGGAAAATTGCACAAATTCATATTAACCTGTGTGATAGTCTTCTGTGTGATAGTCTTTATTTTATGCAATTTACCATGTAATGCCTTATCTTCAAAACCTTTAGCAAGTGCTTGTCTTCAAGTCCTGAATAATTCTGATGTTCACAAGGTATTATTTAAAGACATTTTCCTTTAATTAGTGTCTTCTGTTCAGACATTGATTTTTATCAAAATACAGTATGTAGATATATATTACATATGAAAAATGGGATGCTGGCTTGTGTATTTGGAAAACCTGTGCTCTAGAGGAAGGGAATGAGCTGACAGAAGTGCTTCCTTACTCTTCCACTCCTTGTTTAAAAAAGTAAGATAGCAACAATTTCCAACTCCTTACAACAGAGACACACAGTAATCACAGAAGCTTCTGTGACCCTGCAGTGGCACTTCTGGTGCTGATGTAATGCCTTGTGCTGAACTTCTTCACCCTGTCTGAAGAAGTTATTTTAAAGTTATTCCACTTTCTAGAACTTGTATCAATTGAAGCTTAGAAAATAACATCATCTTCATGCAAACACCTAAATTTTTGTTAATTTGAAATGGAGGTTACATTAATTTCCTAGAGGAAATAACAGCACTTTAACTTATATAGACTGTTGGGTGCCATTTGATCTGAGTTTGTTGTAATATACTAGAGCATTTTCTATACTGTTCTATACTAGGTTTTATTATGATTACTAAAAGAGTATTATCTGTTGGTTTTTTTTTTTTTATTTAATATACTTAAAGGAACATATATGATGAGGAATTGATATAATCTGGATTCTGCTATGTCTGTCTTTGCTGGTCTTACAGTGAGAAATGCATCTGGGCTAATACAGACCTGACATGATGCAATTTTATCCTTCTTTACATAGGGAATAGAGACAGAGAGGCCCATTTTACAAGTGGACAGATATGTATTTGCAGGAGAATATGAAGGTAGGAAAACTTATATGAATACAATCTCTCCCTTTTCACTGACCCAAGGAACTTCCTTAACATCAGGTGCTTTTGCTGCAATTGGTCCTGTGAGATGCTGTAGTTGTGGGCAGTCACTGCTAAATTAACCATGCATCCATGGTACTTCCAGGGAAGGTATGTGTGGAAGCTGACTCTGGGCTGCACCAGCTGGTATTACTGCAGACAAAAATGTGGCATATAAAATGCCTTAAAGTGCTGTTGCCTCCTGTGTAAGCAGGACTGACACATTTTGCAATCTGTAGTTCTTCCATTTGCCCTATGGTGACAACACTGGTCTGGAAGAAGATGGTCTGGGATTCTCCCTTGTAGTGACTCCAATGACTGTGATACTCCTGCCTGTTATGAGTTCCTTACCAGTGCTGTACCTCTGTGAGGGGCTGGAAGTTAGAACATTCCCACAACTGAGCCAGTGGGTGCATTATCTGCAGCTGAGGCAAATTAGTCTCTAAAACTTTCTCACTTTGTTTTTCATAGATGCTTTGGGAACCTGTGTGGTTTTTGAAGAAAACACAGAGCAAGGTAATTGTTGTGATTTGATGTTCTGTTTGTTTCAGTAGCTGAGGAGGTTAAAAATATTTATCTAGTTTCATTTGCTAGTGGAATTCACTATAATGACTGGGGTTTGGGTATTGTTTTTTCTCCTCTCTTCTTAGTAGACGCAGAAGGCAACCAAAAAGTACAGCTGAAATACAAGTGCCACACAGTGAAGAAGTTGAACATGACACGGACCCTTCTGACAGAAAAGAAGGAAGGAGAAGAGAATGTTGGTGAGTGATTCTGCTCTTATGCATGTGGACATGGGTGGATTATGCTTAATCCACAGGGAGAGTCAGCCTTTATTAAGTGTTTGATTCAAGAGCATGCAGGAAGTTAAAGGAACTTCCTTCTTTAGGCACCATATGTGTATATTTAAATTAAAAAATTAAATACATTTCTGGCCAGTGCTGCCTCCAGAAATGGCTTCTATGAGATGACTACAAAGAAGTACAAAAGCAGGGAAAACATATGCTGATGCTCCCTGGTACATTCTTCTGTCATCTAGAAGTTTCAAAATCAGAGGTGCTGTTTAGTAGTTCTTTCTTGAATTTTTTTTTTCCCTACTTCCATAATTTTTTCTAAGGACATTCTGAATCTCTGTAATTGTTGAAAAGAACTGAATTGTACTTAATGAATTTACAGTTAAATGGAAATTAATCTAAATTACTTGCAAAGATGTACTTAAAGAGCATGTATATCGATTTTCATTCTGTAGGCAGAACTCATGGTTCATATGTTTGCTTTATTTTTTTTTGTACAGAAGTCAGAACTTTTACATAGTCAAATACTGAGTGTACTACTATATATAGCAGTATTCATTAGAACTGTCCTACTGCTTTTAGCTGCTTTTTTTCACTCAAGTCAGTGTTACTGCTTCTTATTTTAAGAATATATAGCCATTTTACCTTGAATATGAGCAGTCAGCTGGACACTGGCCATAGGAGGTACAAAATGAAATGTCAATTAGAATCTAACCAAACATCAGCATTCCTATCAACACCATGTACCACTTCTCTCTGTAGAATTAATTATGTAATGGTAAACTGAAAGCATTGTTTTGCTAGTCTAAGTAATATTAAATTGAGACTAGAGAGTATTTTTTTTAATACAAAGGCAGTTCTGGAGCAGCAGTACTGCTGATAAGTACTGAAAACCACTTTGTTTCTGTACCGTGACAGGAATTTAACTTGTGCATGCAAAGTAACTACAACATCTTGAGAACTGACAACATGTACTGAGTAAAAATCAAAATGGGAGTGAAATCCCATTTCTCTTTGGGGTTGGTTTCAACCTGTTGTTCCAACTTATTGTTACACTTGAGTTAAAGAGAGTGCAAGAACTTTTGTCCTCTCTCTGTTGTCATTACCTATTGCCTGAAGATCTAATATTTAGGTGAACAAATATTCTATTCGCTTCATCGCATTTGTGAAACATTTTCTCTGCATTTTGATTAATGTTTTAAGTTATTTTAAGAGCCTGAGAGTGGCATCAGACACCTAAATACAACAGGAACTGCCATACTGGATCAGAGGAAAAATCTTTTTAGTCCTGCATTGTATTTTCTGACTATGAAAAGTAGTAAAAGGATATGTGAAAAGTAATAGGAGAGGAATATTCACATCTTTCTATTCTAAGTGGTTCTTTTACTTTGATCTTGGTCTGGCTCAGCCTTAATAACAGTGAACGTAAGTTAAAAACTGTTGTTAACTCCTTTTGTCACTAATAGAATTTTCCTTCTTTACATCAGGTGGAGTAGAGTGGTTGCAGATCAAGGACAGAGATTTTTCCTACAGCAGGCTTAATATGATTTGCAGTTTTCTGCCTGAAAAGGATGATTCTGAGGAGTCAGCTCAGGCCCAAGATAAATTGACTGAAGAGTCAGAGGGAGAGGTGAGTGGCAAAGGCAATTCTAACATGAACTGTGACCTTGAAAAGCAGCCCAACTTGGAAATGGATGCCCCTGTTCCTTTGCCTGACAGCTCTGCTTCTGGGGCAGAGGAATCTCCTTCTGGAAATGCTGCCTTAGAGGATGTACCTCCATGACACTAACTCTGATCTTTTCAGGATTTCTTCACAGAATTAATGGGCCAACTTTTATAGGCCATGACATGGTTTCCACATTCTCTGAAAAATGGAGAGTGGAAAAACAGACATTATGTTCTTGTGCATTGCTTTTGTGTTTGAGTTATAGTGGGAAGGGCTTAATTGTTTTTTAAAATTACTGACTGGAAATGTGTGTATCCCTACCTCAAAACTGGACAAGTGGAAATGGTTACATAATTAAAAGAAGCTCCTTGCTTAAAAAAGGTTGATGTATTGTACAGTCTGAGACATTTTGTAAAAAGAAAGAAACACCATTGTTTAAAATAAAGACCTGAATTTTTCAACTATGGCTTCACCTTGTGTGTCGTGTCAGCCACATACTGTCTGCTCTTGTACTGCAGTATTGAAAGAAAACAAATAAGTGTGGCTTTTATTGAATGCTCCTCAAATTGCTTAGTTTAGATTCTCTCTAGTGTCCTTTTTCTCCTTGATGGAGTTTAGAAATCTTTCATGTGGGCTGGGACTTTAGGGGGTCTCTCATCTAGTTTCCTATGTAAAATAGGGTCAACACTGAAATTCAGGGCAAGTTGGTCAGGGCTTTGTCCACTCAAGCCTTGAAAACCTCTGCAAACTTGTCAGCAAATGAAATCCAGGTCTTAGGCATCTGTCATGCTGCTTCCCCCATTTTCTGTATAATATAATGTGTGTTATACAAAAGGAAGTGTGGTTACTCCATTTTTCTTTTTCCTCACAGTAACTTCTTGTCTCTAATCTTCCTCTCTGGCATTTTCCTGAAGGGTTTTATGCTTAAGATCCTGTACCTATGCATCAGTGGTTTCCAGACTAGTCCATGTGATTGTATTCTGCTGCCTAGCTAGTCTGTGGGTTGATACTGCTACATCATTTATTCTGCCACACACTGTTTTGAGTGTGTGGTGCACTCGGGATAATGTTTTCAAAAGCACAACAATTTTAAAACAGAAAACATTTTCTCCCTGACCCTTCTTCTTTCCTACCTTTCTCTGCCTCCTTCAAAACAGCGTAACTGCAACAGTGCTGTGAGGATGAGAACACCTAATTAATTCCACCATAATTATGTAATACCTTAATTAGTAATGATCAGAGGAGAAGCTCCCCCACGGTGTTGTTCACAGCAGAGCATCAGTAAAGAGAAGCCACTAAAATGGCAACAGTTTCAAACCATCAATCCCATTATTCCCTTTTTTTTTTTCTGTGTAGAAGCAACTTGAATCTTAGGGGAAAGGGAGGCAGGGAGAGGAAAGGAAAGGGAACATGTTCTGTGTGCCTCCAGCCTGGGTGTGGATCTTTCACATGGTAGTGTTGCATTTGAGGTTTCTGGGAGACAGCACAGCCATCCCTCTGGATTTAACTGCAACCATGGAAGTTTAAAAACATCATCATTCAGGCTTGATTTGTGTGGTGTTGATAGATAGAGGACAGTTATAACTGGAATAACGATCCTGGGAATACACAGGCTCTTGAGTGCCGGAGGGAGGGTTTGCGGTGCGCTCGGTGGCAGCTGAGCCTCCTGCAGAGGGGGCTCTTGCTATGGCTGCTTCAGCCTCTGGGAACACAGAGGAGCTTCAGGAGTTTGTTCTCTGACAGAATGCAAACACAGCAACTCTCCCATGTTTTGCTAACTGGTTACTTAGTCTGGCACTATGTATGTCAGTTTTTTTCCCTATGTACAAGGAGTGTTCCAGCATTGGTTTCTGGCCTTCTCAGCCTTTTCTTTCAGCACTACACTGAAACTGTTTCTTTGTTCTAGTTCATCTGGTAATCAGTATTATTTTTGAAAAGATTTTATGTATAACACACAATAAGTACATTCATAATAATGTTAGGGTTTTTTTAATATTTTAAGTGTTATTTCTAATGGTCGAGCTTTTGTTCCTATGATCATTAACCCTAACTTTTGCAACCATACAACCTCTGGCTGAAGAACCTTTTTCTGATATCCAACCTAACCCTCCCCTGACACAACTTCAGGCCATTCCCTCGGGTCCTGGCACAGGTCACCACAGAGATCAGTGTCTGCCCCTCCTTCCCCTCAGGAGGAAGCGGCAGACTGCAGAGAGGTCTCCCCTCAGCCTCCTCTGCTCCAGGCTGAACAGCCCAGGCACGCTCCGCCGCTCCCCGCACGGATTCCCCTCCAGCCCCTCCGTCCCGTGGGCCGACGGCGCAGAGGCGCGCCCCGCGCATGCGCCATGCTCCGCTCCGCTCCGCCCTGCCTGCCGGCGGATGTGACGCGCGCGGCGGCTCCCGCACCGCGTCCGGCACGTGAGGGCAGCGATGGATGCGCTGGACCGAGTGGTGTGAGTGTGCCGGGAAACCGCTCCGGGAAACGGGAGGGGCGGCGGCCCGGGCGGGATGCACTGCGGGAGCCAGCAGAGAGAAAAGCCTCATGGAAAACGTGCGGGGGAGAGGAAGCCGAGCGCTGCCGTCTTTTTAGTGGTGGCCAAACAGCCCTTTATCAGTTGGTAGCTTAAAAAACCGCGGTGACCTGCTGGTGTTGAATCTGTGTGTTTGCGTACACCTGAGAGAATTCATTTCTGAAGTTTCAGTGATGCGTGGGGAAGAGTTACCATAAACTAAAACACCAGAAGTCCCACCTCAGCGTGAGGAGGAACTTCTTTACAGTGACGGGGCGCTGGAACAGGCTGCCCAGGGAGATCCTGGAGACAGTCCATACCCACCTCACATTCCTGTGGCACCTGCTCCAGGTTACCCTGCCTTGGCAAGGGGGTTGGACTCTATGATCTCCAGAGCTCCGTTCCACCCCTGACGATGCTGGGATACCTCTGTGTCTGTGGGGGTATTGTTTGTTTTAAAGAAGAAAATAAAACTAATGCTTTACTGAGAAGATAATCTAGTGGAGAGCTATAATATTAAGCCACGTAGCCACTGATGTGTCTAAGGTCTGTGCCCCTGTGCAGACTGCGATATTTCATTTGGCTAGTGCCCAGCGTTCCTCACTGGTTCCTGACAACAGCTTTTATTCTGGGGGCTGTTGGTGGTTTTGAGGAACTTTATTTTCTTCTCATAAGCAAGTTTCTGGCTTGTTGAGGGAGCTGATGGTAGGGGAATCCTTTAGCTTGGCAGTAAGCTGAGAATTCTACTATAGCTTGAGCTCTAAATTAGCAGAAACTGAAAAGCACAAGACTGTAAAATCACCTTTGCTAATTTGGGGGGACAGAGAGGAATAGGAGTGGCAGTAAAAACACATTCACCTGAGACAGGGCTTTTGTCATTGATTGTAATTCTGCAGGTTGGGATTAGTTTGAGTCACTGAAACAAGCTACTTGAACAGTTTGTTCCAATTCTTGTTTGACTTCACTGTTTTCTGTAGTGTCAAGCCTTGTTACATATATTAAGCTTTTAACTTTTAATTTGTTGTTACAGAAAGCCGAAAACTAAGAGAGCAAAAAGATTTCTTGAGAAGAGAGAACCCAAGTTAAATGAAAATACAAAAAATGCTATGCTCATAAAAGGAGGAAATGCAAATTTAACAGTGACCGAAGTGCTTAAAGACATTGTAAGTTGTTGGACATAGCATGCAACCTTGCTCTCTCTTTCTTATAATTTTCTGTCCCTATTGCACTATCAGTATTTTCATACTCTCCCTGTACCCCAAATCTCAGAATGACCTGTACTCCAAAGGTGTCATTACCTGCTTCTTAAAGGAAGATTGCTTTCTTCCAGTTTCTTCTTTGCCAGAAATGTTGAGCTTGCTCTTTTATTTTTTCACAATTGTCTAGTATATAAGTGAAGTGTTGCCAAGTCTGTTTGAAAACAAGAGGATTAGCACAGAATTGGGACTGTATCACACAGCTAAGTCATATTCCAAAATCCTGTAAGCTGACTGTGTGTATTGATAGGGAGCTTTCAGCCTCTCATAAAACTACCAGTCTTGTTTCTACCTAAAGTTACCAATCTTGTCTCCTATCTCCATAGCTCAAAATATTATAGCTGTTCCTACACTTGTTTTTCTCTTTGCTTTGTTGTTTTCCTATCCTTTTATGCTTCTATAATCAAGTTGTTTTTCTCTCCCTGTTTTTCCTTATGCCCCTTAGAAGCAGAGGGATTGCTTTGATTTCAGCTGTTTCTCAGTTAATTTTTTATTTCCCAGTTTCTACAAATAATTTCTCGTGCAATTAATTTGGAAACAAGATTGTCACCAGCTCGAAGGGTATTACTGTGAGCAGGCCTTTTGAGGTACCTTCTTCTAGGCTGCTCTGCATAGTTACTGTTTCACATGTTCCTGTAAACTGTTGGGTTGTAAAAACAACAGTGCTGTACATGTTTTAGAGGTGACATGTGTTAAACTTTGTATTTTGCAGTATGCTGTGAAGAAGCCTTTCGCTGTACTGTATAAAAGGTAAGTGATCTCACTTTGACATCTTTGAGTCTTCTGACAGACAGCTTTTATTTTGGGGGAGTTTCAGGGCATGAATAGAAATGCAGGCTAGCCTGGGGCCGTGAACAATGACGAGGATGCAGAAGATGACTGATCATAATTTTCAATAGACTGGAAACAAGCTACCTGTGATCAGCATTAGTGCTGAGCCCTGTTCTGTGGCAGCTGGTATGGAGCAGCATTCAGCTCTAAGTCTCGTTCAAAATGGGAACCCAGTGTCTGTATGAGTGTAGTGTAGAAACAACTGTAAATTGTTGTCTAAATTTAATGAATGAACAGGCAAAGGCATTTACTCAGTGTCACTGGTGCTAGTGGTGGGGTGTTCTGCAGGTCAGGCCCCAGGAAACAGGAAATGTGGAGGAAAGTACTTGGAATGGCAGTGATGGCACTGAGACATTCCTGGCAGTAGTCATAGGACTTGTGATTTGAACTCAAACTGAGCCTTTACTGCTGGGGTTTCTGGTAGAATGCAAAACTTTTTGTTATCAGAGAATTAATAAGAAATTGTTATCTGGGCCTGTTCTGGGTTTTTTTTTTGGGTTTTTGTTTTAGTTTGTTTTGTTTTTTCATTTGTTTGGTTTTGGGGTTGTTGTTTTTTTGGTTTTTTGTGGTGTTTTGTTTTGTTTTGTTTTTTGTTTTTTAACTTGTTTTTTTCTCCTCCTCTCAGGAAAAATATTACCAGGCCTTTTGAGGACCAAACATCATTGGTAAGTATAGACAGTGTTTTCTCTTACAACAGTTTTGAGCAGGCTATCCTTGTGTGCCAAAAGATGAACCATCAGGAAAGAAGAATAGACTGTCTGCATAGAGCTTTGCTGGAACTAAGGGGTAAAAAGAGAGTCTACTGCTTTTGGAAGAGGCAGGCCACTCAGGAGGGCCACAAAGATGTTGTGAGAGTATGCAGGG